CATATTTTCTTTTTTGCTCGCTTTCTGGTTTTTTGATTCTTGCAGAGGGGCACGGTCATTTTTCGAATGTTTAATTTTCTCGTGTGTTTGATTATTGTGAACATGTTATTCTTATGGTATTACTATCACAGTTGTATTTCAGTATTTCTTTCAACTGCCGTGTATTCGAAAGTGTTATGAAGTGTTTATGAGAAGTCATGTTGACGTTAACCTGCTCTCTAACATCGAAATGGAAAACTCGTCCCTTATTCGAACCATTTAAATCTCTATTAATTAGTATAATAAAGGATGTTTCGAGAATCGTGCTGTATTGTGAAAGAAATGAAAAAATTGGAGTAGATAGAAAGACCAAAGTATTTAAGGCACGTCCCTTGATCACTAATTGAAGTAGTGACGATAAATGATGAATGACGAGATGGTAACTATCTATCTAGTGAAGAAGGGCAGAAAAGAATCTGACGAAAATACCCTAGATAGGAGCCCATGCCAAACCAACCTTGCACCTCCATACGGCGGAAAGACAGTTCCTTCTAACCTGATGGTATCATAGCTGGTAGCAGCTCTTTTCACACATCATCTCACTCTGATCAATTGGAATGGGACAGCTGTTTTCCAAACAACCACTCTATTCGGTAGTCGTAAGTAGCCGTTGGAAGGGAACAGTTAGAAATTAATTGCGGTATGGGAAGGTGCGTGGGTCGCCTTCGTCGCGACTGTACGACGTGATTACCACGTATTTTGGGGCTACAGAAAAGATGAATCTTTCATGCTTGCGCCGGCAACCCCGTTTGTGTAGCTTCCATTACTCCGACGAAGGGAGAATGAAAATATGCGTAGGATAGCCGTAATGGTTCGTCGTACGCAATCACACTACAACGTTTGGCCAATTGCCCACGCCAACGGCGCTGTCGGACACCTCGGAGAACTCGTCCGGGACACGCCTTTTCTCTGTCTCTTGCACGTACAACCTCGTTTTGGCAGAGGGTCGTGATAAGGGCATTCCCGATGGTTTCGCTTAGATTTTTCTTCCTTATTCATTAGTTTGCTGGCTTATCACTCGTATTTCTACTCCATTACTCTGCATCTGTGGTCCCGGGCTTTCGATTAAATCCGATGAGTATTAAAAAAGTTACGATCGTTTAAAGTGAAACACCCAAAACGCTGAGAACTTTCCGGACAACCTAATAATAAAAACAGCTGGGTGTTTATGAATGAACTCTCAACGGAAAGACAACATTCAAAAGGTTGCTGCGCATAAAAGTAAATGATAATGCCAGTCAAGAACCTTAAGAAAATAAATATTCGAGACGATTTTGAAAAGGTCCCAAAAGAGAAAACTTTCATATGCAAGTGAGGATCTCCGTCAGCAAGAAATCATAGCCAGTGAACAAAAAAATGTCATTATTCCATCAGCAACTTAGCTGCAGTTGAGTTGCAAAATGATAAGACCGTAAAATGTTTTTCTTTTGATTAAGACAAACCCCTCAACTGCAAGTCAGTGTTGTGGGTTTCAAAATTAACGCACTCCTGGCTCACAACCGTTCAACATTACATGCCATAGATAATGGGTGCGTGATACAGGGATCTATTTAACTCTGCCTCAAAATATTACTTTTTTTACCTGTTCCCCTCTTCGTAAGAAAAAGTATCCACGTTTATGAGGGAGATGACCAAATAGCTCAAGTTAAAAGCCAAAAGATCTTTTTACAACATTAGCACCGATTAAAGTAAGTCGAAAATGTGCAAGAAATAGGATTCTCAACACTTTCTTCTTCTTCACCTATTACGCTGCTCCACCAATCAACTCGGAACTTACTCACTGTCATCGATAACAGGCGAAGTAATTTTCCTGACAATTGTTACAGAAAGAATGGGAAATGAAAATGACGAGACTGGTCTAAGTACTTCTTTTCTCATCGAGTCGAACTATTAAGTGAGCCGACTGTGAATTTTCACCCCTTCGAGGCACCCTCTTTGATACCACTACGAAAGGGAGAGCGAGTTACGGCGCACGGTATGTTGCCCAAGTCACACACTGTTGTATTCAAATCGAGATAACAGTTCAAGCGACACCCACAGTTAGCAAAAATAACGAATAGATACTACACTACCCATTAAGGCGAAAATGTGCTTACGCGCCAGGTCACGTTCATATTTCACGATCCGACGCTTGGATCACGAAGTATGAAAGCGTTCTTACCAGTGGAAAATAATACACAAATACACTTAAAGTATGTCGCTGTGTGAACATCAGACCTGTCCTTACGAACATGATGAGATGCATACATGATTTGCATTTTCAAAGGCTACGAAGAAACAGTAGTCTCGATCACAGCAAAACTGACGCACTAATTCATTCATGGTGTATTTCGCTGTGAGTGAGCAATTAATCAAAAGTATACCTTTCTTTTGGGCTTTCCAGGCGTTTCATTTCCAGCTGGCTCGTCAGTACCAGAATCGTCTTCACCTGCTTCCCCAGCCTGGAATAGGCCAAATGTCACAGTCATCATTATCCTTAGAACTTTACCAATATCGCAGCACATAAACAGACTGTCCACCCATTGCAGCCCTTAAGAGTCAAAATTTCTATGAAACCACGACTATGGAGGATTCGGTGATTTGATCGCAGATATACTATATTCGGCGCTATGCCAAATGCTATAGTTTTGTCTGGACTAACAATTTGTAGGACAGTGTTCAAACTTTGCGACTGAGAAGATTTAGCGATTTGGGAGGCTCGGCGATTCGAACTGTGCGACGAGTAGAGTAAACGCATCGATCTGGCGATAGGGGAGAATCGGTCCCGGGTGTGGATATCGATGGATCGCCAAATCTCCACAATCCCAAGCAAATGGCGCTGATCAATACCCATCCACACCCTTGGTGCAATCGCCTAAAATGTCGACATTCCTGATCGCCAGATCGCTCAATTTCCCAAAAAGTCGCATCGCCGAATTTCTCAAAGCACCGGATTGCCCTTCTTCGCAATCACTAGCGACCGGTGCCGATCGACATCTCTCCACTCCTGTGGCGCGCAATCGCCCGAAACGCCGAGTCGCCCAAAATGCCGGAAAGCCGATTCTCCCCCATGGATAGATCGGTACCTATGGTTTCCACGCCACACAATCTTCCGAATCGCCGAATCTCTTCAGTCTCAAAATATGAACGCGGGCTAGGGGTGAATTCACAACAAATCTAACACTTTCATTTATAGCGCCGGCGTTATTAATGAGGGTCGTGTGTATGTGATCACGTCGTTCAACATCCGTATGGACGAGATTTCAGCGAAAAAGCTATGGGTTTGTAATGGTGGAATGTGCTGAAATAGTTGTTATACTGGTGATCAAGGCACACAACAGCAAGTTCTGCAGTTATAAGATTTTGGGTGAAAATGCAGTTTGAATGTTATGTTATAAGAAATGTGCGGGAAATTACATTGGGCTTAATTGTAGCGGACAATACCGAGCGCAAAGAAATTTCAGTGAATGCAGACTTGGATACGGTGTGCATCTTCAGAAGCACGTACCTCGCTATCCTGACGCTCACTACCGCTTTCACGTTCCTCTTCAGATTCCTCCTCCTGCTTCTTCTTTGCACTGTGTCTTGACGCCGAAGCTCTTGGTGTTCCTTGAAAATACAAGGTTCAAAACAATAATTCCTTCTTTTTTCAAGTAACAAGTAACCTATAGCGTTCTATATAAGCTAGTAGTAAGATAAAAGCAACTTCACTAACGGGAAGGCCTCGCCAATGGCTGCGCTGGCTTTCTGGCAGTGGGTGGTGCTCCTACCATCGACCGTCGCTCTGCACGTTCTTCGTCAATCATGATTATTTTTCTAAAATTTTCTGAGCATTCTTCTACTATTCTGGAGCACTATATACATGCATATATATGTGTACATATATGTCCGGAAAGTCCTTTCTATTCCGAGTGCCTCGAAAAGCACAACGTTTTATACAAAATAAATGAAATAACTTCAAGTTCTAGAGTTCTTATTTTCCGAATTCACAACGTGGTATATTTGTCCTTGTTTTCTGTTAGTATAAGTTGAACTGTTTGTGCTAAGGATCCTGCAGAACTAAAGTACAAACATTTGTATTTTTGATACCGAAAAATCTTTTTTTATCACAAAAAAGACGAAAATAAATCGTAGTTTCCGAGAAGGACATCTGGTTGGCTCATTAGGAGGCAATGAATAAAAACATTTCATGAACTTTCGACAGGTTGAATTTGATTATGACAACGCTAACGCTCCATTAGGACATTTGCAATCAATCATGACAAAATCAAAAACCTTCATCACAACAAAACTACAAACTATCGTTCGTGAATAAGACCAAGCTCAAGGCATCAAATCCAATTGTTCATGAACTTCTAATGTGAACTGGTTATGACAGACGCCTTGACGATCGGATGCTCTTAGAATGTGCTACTCAGCTAGATGGACCCAGAACACACAGTGTGTCGTGAAAGATTTCAGTTAAATACGAGCCCCAACCCATACCCGAAAGTGGTTCTTCCCCCCCTCCCAAGAAAAACGCCAAAAAATCCAAGAGGTGAAAAAAAATGATATGGCCGCCGTCAGAAGCGCGCTCTCTGTCATTGTACCGGAGCGAGCTACGTCGCGCTATCTTCCCAAACCACACCAGGAACCCTTTTTTTGAACTTCCATAATTTTTTTTTCTTCAGAGTGCAGCTTCTGAAGAGGAGGAAGCAAGGGTTGTGAAGCTGAAGAGATTCGATAATTAGTGATTGTGCTCAAGCGATTTTAAAGACCTCTTTTCTAAGGAGGTTCCCAGTTATGACACCGTTGACGAATTTCGTGTCATCTACGAGTTTTTCCATGTTTTGAACAGAATAGCTTCATTCATATGTGACCTCTTGTGAAACCAAAAACAATAACGGAATCTAGAAGAATTCCATTTTCTAAAAAGCACATCATCTCCCCTATGGCCCGCTACTTGGAAAAATTCCCATTTTTCTGTTTCCTGTAGAAAATTTCTCGAGTTTTTTCTTGTGGCCATTTCGGGCAACACGTAAATACCACCCCTCCGGCGCAATATCTTTCAGCTCGTTGCAACCTCAGTATGCTTCTAGAATACACCTCTCCGTCGAAGTTATCTAGAGACAGTCCGTTCGACGCCGACTGGGCCTGCCTCTATAGTGCGCCATGCATAGGACTCCCTCGCAGTGTTGGGAAAGTCGTTTAAGCAGGCCCACCTCCGGGCCAGCAGATGCATTCCCACGGAATTGCTTGCCAGAGGAAGACTCAGAATGGTCCGAGAGTGTTCTGTTTTATTATTAATTCAGGGAAGTCGTTGTGGCCGGCCACCATACTTCCTTTCACCGCCCGTTCTCTATTTCTAAGCTTGCAGCTTAGCAGCGCTTGCAGTCAGGGCGCAGCACCGTGATGTGTGAAATGGTGGTGTCACCAGCCCCCCCCCCAGCACAGCACTTACCTACCACTTTCCTAACAAGTTTCCAGCGTCCTACCAGTTTTCCCAAAATTTTCCTTCTCAAGGTTTTCACACAAAATTTTTCCTGTCGAGGGGGGGGATATGAAACGGGAAAAACCGGGAAAGCGCGCAACAACCGGGGAAAATTTTTCCCCACGTAGCAACTTTCTCTCAAAGCCACATATGACCCCCCCCCACTCTCCCAACCAACCACGACCAAATACGAATCCCCTTCCCAGTGGCCAAGTACGACCCCCTCATCTGTTTCACACAACAATGCTGTACCCTGCTTATAAATGCCTTTTCAGGTGTTCTTCACAAGAAGAACCATGAATGAGTGTTTTATCTTTCAGGGACTGATTGTTGCTGCTCTTCCCATTCCTAAATGAGTCCTGCGCTTACGACCCCCCCCCACCCCGCTCGTTAGTTCGCGGTCAAATACACCTCCCCCCCCCCGTTGATTTCCTCAGTGATAGCTTGCCTTGGAGATCGTACCTTCATGGGCGTTTCGGTGCTCAAACTTGATGGCAGTCAATTCTTTGCAAAGCAATATAACGAGTGACGCGAACGATTGTACACAATGACGCGAACAGAACTTATCCTGAAGTCTTCCATATGTATCAACATCAATCACCCAAAGGTAATGTTCGCGTATATGAATAGACCGCCTAGAAAAAGACAATTGCGCATTGTCTAGAATTACACTGGACTACACTGAAGTTGGCTACCCGGCCTCGCACCTACCGCATTACACCAGTTTTTACTACTGGGTTACTAGTAGTTTTTAGGGATCTAAGCCCAGTACGTTGCTTTATTGTGGTTAGTCAATATTACATCCATTGGAATTTTTTATTACTGGTCTACCTTCAAAATTGGCAAGCACTTTACGGACAGTACATATACACATAAATAAATAAATACATGTACATCGTGTACAACGCGAAACAAAAGCAGAAGCGTTGTCGTATGGCTTGTATGAGAAGAATTCAGATGGCAAAATAACATTAAACAGTATAATTCGAAGTGGACACGGGAGCACAAAATTGGGGAACGCCTTCTCGCTGCAAGGGTCCAGGGTATCTCGGGGCATCTACCAGTCCACTAGTTTAAGGAAGAAGATAAAGAAGGAGGGATCAGAGAAGGGAGGGAGAAAAAGAAGGAGGGAGAAAGAAAAAAGGAAAGAGAAGAGAGGCTTCCCGGTTGACAGGTGCCCTGAGACGGACGCCGTTACGCGGCGTATTACGATACATTAACCCATCGTGTGATTGCGTACAGCAGGCAACCACAGCAACTTCACGCCCGATTTTAATTCCTGCTGAGCCCATGGAAGTGGAATAACAATCTGACTAAAACAAACAAAAGCTGAAATGGAAATTATAAATCTTTTTACGAAGACTTTTGAATCTGTGGAGTTTTTTTTGGTAAAATTTTTGGCACCTCTCTTATGTAGCATATGTTCATTCAGATTCCAATGAGGCTCCGGGACAGCACAATATTAACAATAGACATTTGACAGAACACTTACCAGTAAAGGATGGTTGGTACGAAGTGGCCATTCGAAATGAGATGTATACTGCCCGATGGGCCCTTGGACGCTGATTACAAATCTGCCCTCCATATCTGCTAAACGATTTCCTGGACAAAGTTATGCAGGAATTTTGACCAGGTCACACCCATTTCCAGCATGTATATGAGGTACACCAAAACGCCCAAATTCGCTGAAATCTGAAATTAGAGGTGCTCTGGTGCCCTGGAAATCAACACTGCAGTCATTTTTCGTGAAAATATCTTGTTCGCCTTCTGGAGGGGCAGGGTGTGCAGGAACCGGCAACGTCCTTGGCAAGCGTTTTTACGCCGAACGAGTGTGCATTCTAGGTTACGTCTGATTCTAGGTTACGTCTAAACGAAGTTATTCCCATTGGAACGTGAAGAACTCGTGTTCGGCAGGAATTCTCCGCGTTATTTTCTGACCACAAGCCGTCATGCAAGCTTGATAATCTGAAGTGTATTTCATGTAGAGCCTGGCCATACAAATGAATCGTCTTCACCGCTCTGTAAAAGATGATTCCTGAATGAAGCTGTACCTTTTCAATAATACGCAATGGGTCGACTCAATCTAAATCCGCGGAGCAGCCACAGTGACTTAATGCCTCGCATTCGTGCCCGAAGTTCTACTCTGTGCATCACATTACTTCTTAGAAACTAATCTCCTTCAATCAGTGTTTTTGTTTGACTGGTTTGGTAAATGCTGCTGGATACTCGGATACTCATTTGCTAAAACTAGAATACGTACAACATACAACAGCTACATCCTGA